TGTCCGGATTGGTTCCACTGTCCCTTCTGTTGTTGACCGCCTTTCTGTTGGTTGCCCTGAAAGCCGCCCTTTTGGGCGCTTCCGAACTGTTTCTGTTGATTGTTTGGCTGTTTCTGCGGAGAATTCGCTTGATTTTGTTGTTTCGACTGATTTTGTTGCTGTTTTGGCTTCTCTTTGCCCACCGCTTCCGCCGAGTCGTCTGTCATTCAAATAATCAATTTTAATAATAAGTCTTAAAAATATAGATTAAATAACACAAACCCGACTCATCATCGCTTTCCTCCTCGTCTTCATCGTCGTCGTCGTCATCACTGGCGCCGCTCTCGACGGCCTCCTTATCCAAGAATCCAATCGACTCATCCATATTGTCATCTGACTCTTCGTCGTCTTCACTGTCATCTTCATCCGATTCTTCCTTCTTATTGTTTATTGAATTCAATTTATTTAACTTATTCTTCGAGTTCTTGTCGATGACTACTTCCGCCTTCTTTTTATTTGAGTTCTTGTTTTCTTCCTTTTTGGGCAAATCTTTGGCCACTTTTGTGTCCACTTTTGCTTTCTTACCGGCGCTTTCGGGAGAGCTGTCGAGCAATTCATTCTTACGCTTCCCATTCTTGGTCTGAGGAGTGGACACCTCTTCGTCACTGCTTTCTTCGTCCTCTTCATCTCCCTCTTCGTCAAAGTCGTCGTAGGGATCGCCGACCAGATATCCGGTCAAATGAACGGTTCCGTCGCCCACCAGATAATAAGTCACTTCCTCTCCCTCGACAAACATGTGGTCCAAATGGCACTGAAGATTGCGGTTCGGCTCTAACGTGCAGATCATGTAATCGGACTTCTGATGCTCAACCATTATAGACACGTGTTTGGAGACAGTCTTGTCAGCGGATGGCGGTTCCAACGCAGCCATTGTCAGGTGATATGACTCCTCCACTCGTTGTGAATACCGTTTACCGGTCTCTAGAGTTACGCCTAAAACACATGCAAACCATCAGTAAATTATAAGACATCTATAAATTCAAAATGTGTGCCGTATTTCAGACAATCAATACTAACCCCAAAACATTTTGTCAACAATTTATACAACGATTAAAACAATTAAGAGATAATTGAATGGATTTATAGGCAATGAAATCACAATCAAATGCAATGCTTTCGTCCAAAAAGAGCACTAATAATGAAATGAATGGCAAATGATTTAAAACATGGAAAACATGTGCGCTTTGAATGCAATGCCTGTCCTCTCAATGCAAACACGTTTCACACAATCAGAGAGAGTGAGAGTGAATGCTGTGAACGACAGGTAGAGTACGATAGAGACCACCACTGCTGCCATCCGTTCACTTCAGCACATCTTTCCAAACCATTGCTCACAGAATATTCTGTCCCTTTGTATCGCTTTGAATAAAGTGTACATTTGTTTTATATGCATATCTCCGAGCATTTAATCATATCATTTACTATATTATCATATATTAATCATTTTTAACTTTCAATATTTAGATAGTTTGTAATATTGTCCAGTATTTTGCTTTATGTTTATGCAGTAATATTTAGTATAACAGCTATTTGTGTATTATTTGATGGCATATAAAGTTATATTGGAATCGATTTCTGATTTGGATCTTTGAGTTAATTCTTGTGAACTGATGGACAACGAGGAAAATATTTGGCAAAAACAGATTGCGTTTAATTACATGACATAATCGGTTACTTTATAGTCCTGTTAACTATATATAAAACTTAGAATCTATTCATTCAGCTGTAATTTACATTATTCTAATTATACTGAAATGAAATAGGTAATTTTAAAAGGAGAATTAGGCTAACTTAGTTAAACTAGTCTAAGTTTCGCAACCATTTGTGTATTGAATGCTAATCTCATTCACTAAAGTAATGAGTGTTTTTAAAATGTATTTTTGACGAAAAAGGGTTTCTTTTACAGCGTTTTGTAAATCTCTTTTGTCGTCGAAATAAACTTAATTTATAATAAATGGGAAAATAAAGAGTTTTTATGACCCATTATATGACATTTCATTTGTATTTCAACCAAAAGTAAGCACATTATTGTGAACATTGATATAATATTGTATAATAAATTAATTACTATTAGCTTCAATAGTAAAATAACCCATTTTGACACTAAAATAACATTATTAAACGTAAAACATATTAGAAACGGTTAACATAAATCAAATGTTCATATACTATACTATAATAAATAATTATCTTTCTAATTTTATAAATAATTCATAAAACAAACACATATTTTTGTCAATAAACTGAAAATCATTGCTATAAGAGATTGGGTATTGGTTTTTTTGGAAAAAAGCATTTCTTTGATGAACAATATGTGTGTGTATTGTCTGTATTCTTGCAATCGTTTGATGAATGAGTTAACGATTTTATGCGAATATGAGTCGCAAAGCCATGAAAAGGTCTTTTCTTCAAAGTTTGTGATAAAATAAATTTCAAAAATTCTTTATTTTGCTTACTATAAGACTTTGCAGACGTATTGTTTGATAAGATCTGCAAAATCTGTTTTGTAATATATGTTATTTTTAGGAAAAATTAAATTTTAATTCTTAATATAAATTCTGTCCATTTGTGATAACAATGTCTTTTATTTATATTTGTTAAATACAATACATATATAAATTTATATATATTTTCCATATGTATGTATGCAATAAACTTTATATCAGTATTTATTTGTATTAATTTAAACAAATTTTAAGATTTATTTTAATAAATGTCTTGCATTTGATTTATGGACTAAATTTAAATCTCATTTCAAGTGAATTCATTATTCAACTAAACTTTTTAAAATCAATCAACGGTTGACGAAAAAACACTCTATAATGTTTGATATGTATGTGTATTAATACAATAACTATTTTTGCAGTATTTATAAAATCAATTTTAATGTAATCTTTTGGGTCAATGAAGGGAAAGAAGGACCAGTTTGTAGTGAAATGGGATTCACTTTAAATACATTGTCTCAGAGAAGAGAATACTGTTTGCCTATAATATAAGAATAGACAACAAGAATAACAGTGTATTCTATACTATATTCTAAATATTATGCGCTTCTCGTATTGAGAAGAAGGGATACCATGTATTGCCAGTGCATTAGTTATCGATGCGGTTGTTATGGATACAGAGACAGCAACAGCTGCCAGAATCCATTCAATGACATTAATGTTAAGCATACAGAATAAGACATCAATTTATTTAAATTGTTGTTCACATTAAACTACTTTTTAAATATCATACGTTTTGGTCATAAAGTTTTGAAAATTTAGTTTTTAAACATTATAATTAAATGTAGGGATTCTGGCCATTATTGTTGTGAATATACTATTTATTTTATGAAAACCTTATCAAGAATTGCTTTGTTAATTAAAGTTGATGCTAATTTTTTGGCTACAATATGAGTTTAACCATATTTTCATTGTTTATTTCATAAATATATGAATGAAAATATATAATTTATAATAATCATGAATGTAAATTAAAAATCACACGACAAAACGTATTATCAATCACAGAAATGATTGAAACTGCTATAGAAATGGTATAAATCCTTTCTCTAATAATGTTGTGGATATTATTTCGTGTCTTTTAAATGAAAGGCTTGTATTTGTCATAAGAATATAATCTCTTTATTCTTTAATTTTGTTTAAACACTGCATTCAGACAGAGATTATTAAAGGCTTTGAGAGTATAAGTGAAGAGAGTTTTCATACAATCCAAAAGAGTTATTAAACATCGGATACTTACTGTTTGTATGGATTCTGTTATTCTGTTGATTCACTTGATTCCCTATTTTAGCGCAAATCTCATACGAAAATAAAAATAATTACAAAGAATAATATTTATGAAATAATTAATAAAAACAGCAGATTTTTGTAAATTAAATATTTATTTAGTAAATTATATCACAAGTAAAGACATAAAAATGACTACAAATTAAAAATTCAATGAATTAATTATTTAACTTTAAAATAAATAATAAAATTTAATTATTTTTTTACAAATTTATATTACATTTAATGTTATTTTAAGACTATATAAACAAATATCGGTTGCGATTACTTTCAATCATCATTTGACTAGAAGTCAAACTGACTTCTGTGTATTTTTGAGTGCTTTGTGTCAATCGGAATGGCTATCGGTTTTGAAATATATGTTAGTATTATCTTAAATATTATTATTTAATAATTAGTATATAATTACTTGTATCATATATCGCGGGGGCAAATAATAAGATGGATGCGGTGCCGATCACACACGCGGCCGTAAATATCCATAGAAATAATCTATAATTTTATATATTATGTGTAATAAACAATCGCTCAAAGAATTGGTTGAATTAAAGTGAAAATTTGCATAATTCAAAGTTTATTTTATTGTTATTCGCTTATGTGTCAAAAAAGAGAAGAGAAGAGAGAGAGAGAGAGAGAGGAACTGGTATATATAACGATAGAATTATAGATAAATGTGTTAAAATAATGCAAACCTGTCCAAAACCATTGCAACGTATTTCCAGTCCTCTTGAATCTACAAAAGAAAGTAAACAATAGAGGAATTGTCGGTCCGTTTCATTTCCTTCACAGAGAATTGTATTGAATTTACGAGACTTTGATTTTAGATATAAATTGTTTTACTTATGAGGCATTGAATGTTTGAACGTAAAAAACACTCGTTAAACAAAGAATCGCCGGTCGATAAGAGTCTAGTTTAGGCATAATTTGTTTTTAAAGCAATACGTTGTCATATCTTTAGCATAAAATAACTATTAATTAATCATTCAAAGTCTGTTCGCAAAAAGCAGTTATTGTCAGCAAAACTGTATTAATTCAACACATTATTGAAATTGCTTTTATTTAAAGATTAGGAAACGACTGACAACTGAGACAAAACTTACACTTTTAAATTCGTCGGCATTATCTGTAAAGTAATAAAAACAAATGTTGACATAAAACAAAGACTTAAACAAAAAGTATTCAATTCATACCGATGTGATGCGCTATAAACATAGCGTTATGAATGACTTGATCCACTTCTTTGGGATAATAACTGGTGAGCGGTTCGAAGAATGGCAATACAGGACTGGCGTCCAAGTCCTGTATAATGAGCTCTTCGCCCGAACCTGAGGTCGGGAATAGATTTGTTTGTTGCGGAACTATTGCTCGCATTTTTGCACATTTAAAGTCTTTAATCATATAGGGATCAGGTTTTATGGGCGCACAGTTAGAGCAGGGAATCTGGTTTAACAGATTAGCCATATCTGTGGCCGCCTTTCCATTGGTTGGCTTAGTGTCCGAATCGATGTTTTCGAGTTTGTATTGCGGAGGTCTCATCAAAAGCAACTTCGG